AGCACGGTCGAAGCCGAGATTCAAGCACTTGGCTACTCAGCCAGAGAGGCGGTCTACATCTCAAATTTAATGACGGAACTCAACTTCAAGACCTTCGGATNCTTCTGGCTGGAGGACTCATCAGCTACGGTGCTAAGGCTCAAGCTCTAACCGCGCAAAGCACGGTCGAAGCCGAGATTCAAGCACTTGGCTACTCAGCCAGAGAGGCGGTCTACATCTCAAATTTAATGACGGAACTCAACTTCAAGACCTTCGGATCGGTTCCCATCAACAGCGACAGCACCGGAGCGCTGACAGTGGCCGGGAATGCCATGCACTCTCAACGCACGAAGCACGTGGCCCTGAGGTACTTTTTCATCCGGGAGCTAGTACTGCGGGGACAAATCACTCTTCACCACCGGCCCAGCGAGCACCAGTTAGTTGGCTGATATCGCGACCAAGTACCTCCCAAAGCACCGATTCGCCTCCATCATTCAGCAGATCAAGGACTTCTCGTGTTGATCGAAGATCTGTGAAGCTTCCTTCCATACCCGCCATACCAGAAGGAATTTATTGTCGATACGATGCCAACGGAGGGGTCGAGGTAGACAAGGATGGATCTGGTGATGCCGTCGACCATTGTGAATTAGTTGCTTGATCGAGGGGTCGTGCCAAGAAAATCGTGCGTCGAGACCATCAGTAGTCGGACACTGTTTGACCTTTGAATACGATTGCAGCAACTAGTCTGCGTAGCAGTAGAAAATAATCCATCTCTCCATGGCATGTATTCTCTTGTTCTAGAAATATTCCATAAGCATGCTAGGTCAAGGTTGACCGGGACATCTACGTAGAACGTGTGTAGCTTCTGGAAGCCTTCTGAAACCTTCTGGAACCTTCTGGAAGCTTTTGGAAGCGTTCTAGATCTAGGTTGCAGTTGATACTCTTCCAGAATGTAGGNGGCATGTATTCTCTTGTTCTAGAAATATTCCATAAGCATGCTAGGTCAAGGTTGACCGGGACATCTACGTAGAACGTGTGTAGCTTCTGGAAGCCTTCTGAAACCTTCTGGAACCTTCTGGAAGCTTTTGGAAGCGTTCTAGATCTAGGTTGCAGTTGATACTCTTCCAGAATGTAGGAGGGCTTCCAGAAATCATTCTGGAAGCATTCTGAATCTATCTTTCGTGTGATTGGCTTATTTGTCCGTTATTCGAGAAGAGTGGTGCAGCCCTAAGCTCACCCACCTCTCTCTCTCCTCTTCAGTACCAGCAACATGTGACTCGGTAGTCAGCGATTAATAAACACATCTTCATATTTCTATTCCAAGTCTCTCGCGGTTGGAGCCGCACAGAGTGTGAACCTCTGAGGTAGGCTATACAGCCTATCGGCATCTGCAGCATCGCACTGCTGCTAGTGCACAGCGAAATATACATACGCTGACAGGTTTTTCCCTTTCATGGTACTGTTTTAGATGGGCAAGATGCACGGATATTAATGTAGCAGGTGAACGAACCATGGAAGGATACTATCATCGCGAAGGAACGCATGCCAGCTCGTACGTGTGAGCTGTAGTTGTTTAACATACTTAACCTTGTCTTAGTTACGTTTGTTTGGAAGAGTTGGGAAGTGGGCTTACAAAAAATAGGCATACGGTGCGGTGACGAAACAAAGCTTACTGAATATCGGTACAACATTGATTGGGGCGGGCGTTTTTTTGCGAAGGACACGATCGACAACCAGGGAGATGTTAACAGAGACAGGGGGCGTACTCTTAACAACATATTCGCCTGATTGAGAGCGTAGCATCTGATTGAGAGCGAGATTGCGCGATACGCTGTAGCCGGACTACCCCTGAGAGGTGGAGCTTGCTGTGTAGCTTGAATTGAAGGGCTAGCCCGTAGCTTCAAGCCGCTACCCTGGTCATCCTGTGGGAGTCTCTCGTTGTGGAACTACAGCGGGGAGCAGAAGCTACAGCAGAGCCCACCGCCCGACGCGATACCGCCCTGAAACAGTTTGAGCAGAAATAGCCAATCTGGGCAAATCTAGCAACTTGTCTAGCTCCTCGCTGCAGCATCCGATGACGATGACACGCATATGCTCGCGAAGCTGCTGATGAGACCTTCAATTTGCACCGCTTCTTGGAATAGCCCGTCCCCTACTTGCCAAGAAATGGCAAGAGGCGTCTGGACCCGAAATTTCAATTTTTTTGGCTCTCGCTCTCAATCAGATACTTCGCTCTCAATCAGGCGAATATGTTGTTTCTTGTGTTTTGCATGCCTTAGCGGTTAGACCATTGACCACGCGTCCTCGAGAGGACGGTGCATTGTTGTCATAGGACCGATCACCGATGGCCAATCGTTCCAGAGACAGGGAGACGAGAAACTCGAAATACTGATTGATGATGATGTACAAAAGGACAAATTATGACACTATTGTTCGTTCGATCGTGCACTGTTGTGGACGCAGGACTTAAAAAGCATGACAAAGACAACGTAGGTCACGTAATAACTCATCGCCCTGGAAGACTAGACTTTATTTGTCCGGAAAGTCACCCGGGGACATATCATGCAAATATGGTACTTCTCAAGGAGTGTGCTATAAACAGACCGAACAATAATGCCTTGGGCGGAGGGGGTTTCTTCGATGTATGCAAATGCATGCATGCATCTGTTAAAAAAAATATCCTCGAGAACGAACCCCTGCGGCAACAACAACAGCACTATAGTGCAATTTTTTCAGAGCCGTGGGTCTTGCTGCAAAAGCTTCTCCCGAAACGTCAATCTTCGATGCTGGTGGGGTTGAACGTTGATGTACTTGCTACTGATAGGGTGTGCGTGGTTTGCGGTGTCTTTCCGGGGGATTGGTTGTTTGTGTTGGTGTGGTTTGTGTAGTGTGTTAATCAATCTTCGATGCTAGTGGGGTTGAACGTTGGTGTACTTGCTACTGATAGGGTGTGCGTGGTTTGCGGTGTCTTTCCGAGGGATTGGTTGTTTGTGTTGGTGTGGCTTGTGTAGTAGTTACCCCACAAGTGGGGTCAAAAATCAGTGAAACTCCTTCAGGATCCTCTCCGCACGGTTCATCCTAGTAAAAGGCGAGGGTGAAGTTCGTGATGCGAGAGGATCGGAGATGGTAGATGGAGTTGTTCTTCCAAGCGTATATATATGGTGCGGCCTTATCAAGGGTTTTTTGGTCTGCGCCAAATTATCCTTTTGCACGGTTTCTGTCTTTTCTCATCAAGAAAGAAACTCAACAGCATAAAACCAGCTCCACATGGATGTTGCTGTAGTCGAACGGTGAGACGGACGTGTAGTTCAGTTTTGGGCACGCGTACGGTGTTGCAGGGATTATATATAGGTGTAGTAGTACCTCTTCGGGCTCTTGTACACCTTTTTCTTGCTACGTGTGCGTGTTCTTTAGATCCTCAGATGGCTCCAGCACTTTCGTGACCACGGGCCGAGAGTCTTTGCTAGATTTTGGCATTTAGCAACTGGCATACGGTTTAATGTGAAGTCAACAACA